AAGACTCCGGGTCTGTTTGGTCCTTAACGCCTCCCGCTGCCCCCAAATTAGGGCCTGTACTTAGCCTGTTCCACTGCTTGTCTGCTTCTCTCCTTCCAATTCTTACTTCTTCCCCTTTCTTTTTTTCTTCTGCCCAGACTCTGCATTACCCGCCAGGAATTCCCTAGTCCTCCCTAAAGCTAGTCGGTGCTCAAAAAATCATTGATCCTTATGCTAACTCAGCGGTGCCCAACGGAAGTGTCTGTGATGATGGACATGTTCGCTCTGTATTTGCACCGTTCAGTATGGTAGCCATTAACCATCCGTGGCTCTTGAGCACTTGAAAGGTGGCCAGTGCATCTGAGACGCTATATTTTCAATCTGATTTGATTTTAATAGCCATCGGTGGCAGTGTGGTGCTACCATGCTGGACAGCACGGGGAGTCTAACTCCTTCGTTTCTTGGTTGAAAAGGTGAGCGAGCACCTGTCCCTGCAGTCAGGTTGGGCTTATCGACGACGAGCTCCTCTAGGTTTATTGTTTGCTTATCCTGACCTTGCACGGTTGTTGTCTCGTTCACTTTCCTTCTTCGCTCTCATCACGGTTTTGGTGATTTGGGGTTTTGTGTTCTGACAGGTTCAGCGAAATGAGGACAAATCTACCACCTTGAAACTGGCTGATTTTGGCCTTGCAAAGCATGTAGTGAGACCTATATTCACCGTGTGTGGGACTCCGACGTATGTAGCTCCTGAAATTCTCTCCGAGAAAGGTAGGTGTTATACATTGCTCCGTGGGACGCTAGCTCCCTTACTAACAAATGTTTTATTTTGAATATTTCATATTTTCCACTTTTCGATACGGAGCAGTCGAAAATCTCAGCGTGTTGGCACCCAGCTGGCACTTGGATTTTAACGGGAATATTTGAAGCTGATCTTGACCAAAGCACGTGGACTTTTTCCTCATCGGGGCAGCCCTCGTAGAGGAGGGATTCGTGTGTGTGTGTGTGTGTGTGTGTGTGTGTGTGTGTGTATGTATGTGTACGTTGGCAGGATCGTGAGATGATGGAAAATTGGCTGGGGAACTCAAGCGAGCAAGGCCATTTATGCCACTGGCCCCAGGATACCTCTAATGGGAGAAAATTGAAGTGGTTCTTATGGTAAGCAGCTTACAAATTTCTCTACCAACCTTGCATTTTAAGGAACAAGGTGTCCCATTTCAAACCCCGTGAGTAATATTTATTACCGGTTTGTATATACAGTATGAAGATCCAGTGAACGGTTTTTAGTGACACATTCTGTAAAGTGTATAAAAGGAGACTGTTATTATATGGCTCCAAATACATGAATGACCATTTAGCCCTCATGGCACTTTGAGAGAGATCCATTTAGGCCCCATGTGTAAGATGGGAAAGCTCGGGATGGGTTGTGGGGTCAGTGGGGAAGATGGGCAAACTCTGGACGGGCTGTGGGGCTGGTGGGGAAGATGGGGAGACTCTGGACGGGTTGTGGGGC